TGAGGGTTCGCAGGGGTTCGGGAGAACCTCTAGCTAAGATTCTGTGCAGTTCTGAGAATTCCCCAAATCCCACTCTTGGCTGGGGCCCATCCCTCCCCTCCCAGGAGTCCCCACGTGGCCCGTCTTGGATGTGAAAGAATTGGCAAAACAGCTCAGTTCAAATCGGATCTGACTGAGAAGGAGACTCAGCAGGAGCACCTCACTGAGGACTAGGAGCATAGGCTTTCCAAGCAGAGGGAAGAGTTGCGGGAATGAAAGGCCAGATACCAGCACCTTGGAGGCTCAGCGGGCTGAGATGGTCAGCCAGTTCCAGGCCATGAGGCAGTCCCCACTGGAACGAGGCCCTCTGGCTCTTCGCCACCAGCGGCTCTTCCCTCCAGCCTTCGCCCAAAGCCCCCCACCAGGAGGCCGAAGCACACCCCAAGTCAGAATTTCTCCTCCCCCTCCGTTCCACACAAAAAGACCCCAAAGGGGGAGACTCTCTGCATTAACACAAACATTCATGGCACGTATCCGTCCCAGGGGCCGTAGTTTTGAGGACCCCCTGATTTAGTGCAATATAAAAAATGCAAATAATTGTTCTGCGGGCCACCAAAATTTTCTCGCGGACCACCAGTTGGTGAGTGCTGGACTAGAAGCCTCCCCCAAAGTCCCTTCTTATTCTGATCAAGGTTGATGCAGCCTTCCGAGGTCAAGTAAAACGAGGACCCAGATTGTTGGGGGCAATGTGTAAATAAAACAACGCTTCTACATTGTAAGTTGGCCGAAGGGCGCTATAAAGTACGATGGGGCAAGCATGCAAGTGCTATCGCTATGGCTCTTACCGTCTGGAATGTGAACGATGACCCAATTCTGCCGGGCACAATAATGCACAGCGTGGCAGAGGACCATGGTCTTTCCTGTACTCTTCTCTCCGTCTTCAAGACCGTTTAAGGAAGCCACTGTGGAAGAATGTGCCTGCGTGCATGGACAGGGACTCCTGGAGTTATGGCTGTTTTTGTTTTATCGACCGTTCCAAGTTACAAGGGCACTGAAAATTGTGGTCACGTAACTGCAGGATGCTGTAAATTTGAGCCAGGGTGCCAAGTGTCTAAATTCGCCATCATGTGATTGGGCGTGTGTGAGCAGCCGTCGCAACTTAGAACAGAGGTCATAAATAGGGGACTTGGGGAGGTCCTTTGTAACTTTGAACGGTCACTAAGTGAGGACTACACAAGATATTTAGAATGAGAAGGGACCCTGCAGACTAGCCGTTCTTATTCTGTTATTCTGTAATTACTTTAGCATCAGCATCATCGGCTTTTAACGATTGCGGGGTGGAATCTGGGCAAGTGAATGGAGCTAGCAGAATGTTTTAATGGCCGGATGCCCTTCCTGTCACCAATGCGGAGTTTTTTTCAGCAGATATATTCTCAGTGTGCCCAGAGAGAGAGAGAAATATCTGCCTCTACCTAGGATCGAATTCACAGCCTCCTGATTGTGAGGCGAGAGGCTCCACCTCTAGGCTACTGCACCACTCCGTTAACTACTTTAGCATGAGGACCAGAAACTTGCCCGGTCTCCTTCAGTGAAAGAACAGCAATGAGAGACCTGGCTCCGTTTCAAAAGATACAGAGGAGATATCGGACGGCTGGATGAGACACGTTGGTGTGTTTTAAGTAGCTGATGAGTTCTACTGCTGGCTGTCGAACCATGACGCAAGCTTCGTTGAAAGTTTTCATCTGCCGGGGAAAAGAGAAGAGAGAGAAAGTCAAGACCTTCACACGCACAGAGAGAAGGGGAGATAAAGAGAGAAGGAGGGAGGGAGGGAGAGAGGGGGGAGAAAGAGAGGGAGAGAGAGAAGGAGGGAGGGAGAGAGGAGAGGGAGAGAGAGAGAAGGAGGGAGGGAGGGAGGGAGAGAGGAGAAAGAGGGAGGGAGGAGGGAGGGAGGAGGGGGGAGGAGAGGAGAGAGAGAAGGAGGATGAGAGAGGAGAAAGAGGGAGGGAGGAGGGAGGGAGGGGGAGAGAGAGGGAGATAGGGAGAAAGAGGGAGAGGAGGGAGGGAGGAGAGGGAGGGAGAGAGAGAGGGGGAGGGAGAGAGAGAGTGGGAGGAAGGGGGAGAAAGAGAGGGGAGAGAGAGAGGGGGAGGGAGAGAGAGAAGGGGAGAGAGAGGAGAAAGAGAGGGAGATAGAGAGAGAAGGAGGGAGGGAGAGAGAGAAGGAGAAAGAGGGAGAGAGAGAGAGGGAGAAAGGGAGGGAGGAGAGGGAGGGAGAAAGAGAGGAGGAGGGAGAGAGAGGGAGGAAAGGGGAAGAAAGAGAGGGAGAGAGGGAGGGAGGGAGGGAGATCATTTCAGCAAGATCAGTGTGAAGTCTGGGCTGAAGCGAAAGAGGAGCTAAGCCTCGGGGCTGCTTCTGGTAGCCCAGCCCGTGGTTCGCCCTGCAACATTTGGAAAGGCCGATACGTCACCTGGAGTTTGAAGCGAGCTGGGAGCCCGTGAGGGAGGGTCTCCTTCACTTCCTCGGGGGAGATGGTGTAATATTGACCTACGTGATCTGCGCTGTGTTTGGCCTGCAGGATGGAAAGGAGGAGAAGATGATGGCGGAGTTTCAGTTCTTGTTGATTCGTCACGCCGAATTGTTTTTTTTTCTTTTGTTGCGGAAAATTACAAGGAATTTTTCCCAGGAGTTCAGAGAACAAGAGGAAGGGAATGACAAAATCACCGGACTGTGTTGCCGCAAGGAGAATTCAGGTAGTCTTCGACTTACGACCCACAAACGAGCCCAAACTTCATGCTGCTAAGTGAGACATTTGAACGAGTTTTGCCCCCTTTTTACGGACCTTTCTTGCCACCGTGGCTAAGTGAATCGCTGCACCTGTTCCATGAATAACATGGTTGGTTAAGCGAATTTGGCTTTTTCCTCGTTGACTTGGCTCGTCAGGAGGTCGCAAAAGGGGGAATCACGTGACACACACACACACACCCCGGGACGCTGCAACCGTCATAAATGTGAATCAGTTGTCAAGCCTCTGAATTTTGCTTACGTGACCATGGGGATGCTGCAATGAAAGTGCGAAAGGCGCACTTATGAGCTCCCTTTTTTTTCCAGTGCCGTCGCTAAATGTACTGTTGTAAGTCAAGGATGAAATATATGTATATCTTGCTGTTTATCCAGCAGTTTGCGGGTATCTAGAGAGCTCTGGATTACAAGCTGTTGAGCCTTCATGCCATCATTCTTCCTCTCTTTCAGCATGAAGAGGTGGGAATGGGACCGAGAAGGCCTAAGATTTCTTCCTCCATCCGCTGGTGATCTCGAGCTGAGGAAAACAGGTTTAAATCCATTTCCACCTTCCGTTCTGGGTGCCTATGCCCACACTGGGTTTATTTGTTCCCAGCAACAGGGAAAAGATCAGTTGCCAGGCAACTGAGGGACTCTGGATGGCAGGAGTTGGCCCCCCGTGCTTCTGCGGATGCTGGGAGGGTGTGTAAGTGTGTTACCCGACAGGGTCTTGGCTGCCTGTTGCGGTTTCCATGGAGACTCCCCAGAAGATTCAGCAGGGGAGAAAAAATAAAATTCTCAATGGCAGAGGTGGCTATAAAACCTCCCGAGGACCTGTTTTTTGCCCGCCATGTTTTTTTGGTTGCTGCAGCCTCATATTGTAAAAAATGAAGATGATTGCGATATCTTCTCCCTAGCAGGCGCACGCCTAAGGGGAAGTTCTGTTTTGTTTTTTTAAAAAAGATGTATTTCTTTATGATGGCAGGGCTGTTTGATTATTTTTTGCAGCCTCCCAAATGACATCGTGTGTGTGTGTGTGTGTGATCGGCTGCGATGGCATCACCGGTCTGACTTTTTAAAAAAAATTTGCAACCAAAACCTGCACGTTGGCAATTTTTAGGGCATCACAAGTAGGCCCTAAAAACGTTTGCACCTTATAACTGCAATTCCAGATTTTTTTAGAGAACGCTGTCAGCTTTCTTATAGGTGGAGAGGGGACTTGGAATCTCCCAAGCAGATTCCCTGGAGGCTGTGGGTAAAATTGTGGTACTGAAAATCAACTCTATAGGAAAACTAGAACTCACTTTCTTTGTAAATTCTAATAGATATGTACTCAATTAGAGGAGGGCCTATCCTGTTTCCCCCAAAAGAAGACATTATCCCCTGATAATAAGCCCAATCGGGCTTTTGAGCGCATGGCAATAAGGCCAAGCGCTTATTTCACGGTTCAAAAAAATATAAGACAGGGTCTTATTTTCGGGGAAACACGGTAATGAAAAAACCCTACAGGGAAAGGTGGAAAGTAAAAGAGGAAGAGGATAACCAGCAGGAAGCTGGAGGGGGCACCTTTGGGAGGCTTAAAAGAACAGATTAGTGACAGATAGTCATAGACAAAATTTATCTGTTTGGTTGCTAGGAGTCGAACCTGAATTGGTGGCAGATAATCAAAAATCGGTAACAGAATCTTACAAGTGGTTGTGGGTTTCCTGATCTGGTTTAACTCGATGGGCCGACCTCTCCACCCCATCAGTCCAAGTTAAGTCAATGCTGAGGAAAGGCGAAACAGCGAAGCACGTGAGTTGCTTACATATAAATTAAAAATGATCGCCAGATTATACGAGATCCTACAAGCAAACGCAACTCACGCTGACCGAGGCAACAACCATCTTCCCAAATGAACACACACAGGCTTGATCGAACTATAAACATTCTACTTTTGCTTGGCTCAGAGTTGCAAACCCTTGCCGGAGTCCACAAACAATTGGAAATACTGGGTAGTTCTCTACTTACAACAGTTCATTTAGTGACCGCTTGAAGTTACAATAGCACTGAAAAAAAGAGATTTACGGCTGTTTTTCTCACTTAAAACCGTTGCAGCATCCCCATGGTTATGTGACCAGCATTCAGATGAACAGACTTGGAAGGGACCTTATAGGTCATCTAGTCCAACCCCCCACCCAAGCGGGAGACCCTACACCATTTCTGACAAAGGGCAGCCCAGTCTCTTCTTGAAAGTTTCCAGTGATGAACGCTGGCTCATATTTATGATGGTTGCAGTGTCCTGGAGTCACATGATCATCTTTTCATACCTTCTAACAAGCAAGTTCAATGGGGAAGCCAGATCCCCTTAACAACCATGTTACTAACTTAACAACTGCAGCGATTCACTCAACCACGAGTGCCAAGAAAGGTCATAAAATGGGGCAAAACTCACTTAACAACTGTCTCACTTCGCAAGAGAAATTCTGGGCTCAATTGTGGTCGTCAGCCGAGAATAGCTGACCCCCTTCCAAGCTTCCACGCCTCCTCAGGTTAACTCACTGGGTCATTCTCGCTGGTAACAAAGGCCGCTCTGAGCATTTCTGGTTGAAGCTGGACATTCTGAGTTGACATTGTCCTCTGCCAAGTTCTGGGGTAGAGAAAGCCATCCTGTTCCAGCTAAGGAAAGAAAGAGTCTGCGTGAATAGGGAGATCTCCTGGCTTTTCAAAATGACAGCCAGGAGGAAAAAAAGTGAACCTCTTGAACTTGAAAATGGCAAAAATGGCATATTTATAATTAGAACTGCAGAAAAAACAATGGCTACCAACCTGCCTTCCACTGAGGATCTGTATACTGCAGGATTCAAAAAGAGGGCTGTGAAAATATCTACAGACCCCTCGCATCCTGGACATAAATTGTTTCAACTCTTACCCTCAAAACGACACTATAGAGCACTGCACACCAGAACAACTAGACACAAGGACAGTTTTTTTCCCCGAATGCCATCACTCTGCTGAACAAATAATTCCCTCAACACTGTCAAACTATTCACTAAGTCTGCATTACTATTACTATTAATTTTCTCATTGTTCCTATCACCCATCTACTCCCATTTATGACTTCATGACTGTAACTTGTTGCTTGTATCCTTACGATTTCTATTGTTTCCTAGTATGATTCGATTGCTTATTTGTACCCTATGACTATTATTAAGTGTAGTACTTTATGATTCTTGATGAATGTATCTTTTCTTTTTTATGTACACTGAGAGCATAGGCACCAAAGACAAATTCCTTGTGTGTCCAATCACACTTGGCCAATAAAGAATTCTATATTTAGAAACAAGTTGTTGGGTATCCTTAGCCTGAAGATAAAAAGAAGCGCATGATCGTGATCCCTTTTGGTACCTCAAAAACCATTCCTTGTCCCCAAATCACAGACAGGTAGGTGAACTCACCTGGTATCCCCGAAGGAGGAGTTTTCTCAAAGTCCTCAGCATTGTCCCCCTGCGAATAATAACAGCAGTTGTGATGAACAAAAGGTAGCGAGATGTTTATTTTCAGCAGGATTTTCACTTTTTTAACTTTCTGAAGGCCCAGCAGTTAATAACTGCTATTATCAGGAGTTAACGGCTCCTGATCTCCGCTCCTTCCATCGGGACTTGAAGACTTGGCTTTTCAAACAAATAGGCTGAGACTGATTCCGGGCTTTATTATTTACTACTAATTAATTATTTGGATTAAATTATGATTTTATTGTACTTGTTTCTTGTGTTCACCGCCCTGAGTCCTTTGGGAGAATGGCGGCATATAAATACATGTAATAAATAAATAAATAAATAACTCCCTTGATGGCATAAAAGGAGAAAGCTAAGTTTTCCATATCTATTAGGTAAACCAGCAAACCGACTCTAGAAAACGTGTAAATAAGATGCAAGAGGATCTGGTTTTCCTTGGTTCTCTCTTTCATCGCCACAAAATATACGACCAGATTCCCCAAGAAAATACGGTGCTGTTCCCATTCAAGCATGCCTTTTCTTCCCAAATAAACCCCTCTAATTTTCCATTTTTTGGTATTTTTGCTTTCCAACCTCCAACATGGAACATAACAGGTAGTCCCCGACTTACAACCATTCATTTAACGACCGTTCGAAGTTACAACAGCACTGAAAAAAAGGGGACCTGCCACCTTTCCCCCCCCCCCCCACACTTACGACCGTTGCAGTGTCCCGGTGATGAAAATTCAGATGCTTGGCAACCGGTTCGTATTTACGACGGTTGTTGCCGTGTCCCGGAGGTCATGTGATTCCCCTTTCGCGACCCTTCTGACAAGCCAAATCAATGGGGGAGCCAGATTCGCTTTAACGACCGTGTTTCCTAACTTAAAACCACTGAGCGATTCGCTTAACGACTTGAAAGGTGGTTCAAATGGGGGGAGGGAGAAATTCACTCCACACGTCTGTGTTTTGGGCTCCGTTGTGGTCGTAAGTCGAGGACTACCCGTACTTGGTCCTTGTTGGATGGTTTAGTGCAGTTTTTTTCCCTCAGATTTGTTTTTTTCTTCTTCTTCTGTGAGGAACTTCAGCTTTATTTTCACCTACATTTTAAAGGAATACACTTTAATTCACTTCTCCACTTCGTAGCCTGCCCACATTATTTTGGAGCCCCCGGCTAAGCCGGGAAAGGCTTTGCACAACAACCCTGCGAGGTAGGCTCGATGGAGAGAAGGATAACAACACTGCCGTTCCTCGCGCGATCGTTCTATGAAGAGAAACGACGGGCGGGCCGGGGTCTCATCCTATGTTGTCCCCACCTTCCCCTCACAAACCTGGCATTAAATGGGGAATAAAAGCAAAACAGCTCCCCAAAAAAGGCCTAAGTCACTCCCCACCTCTTTCCGCCAAATAACGAAATATATATTCCTATGAGGGGAAAAAAAAAGGGAGAAAAAAAATCCAAACCGCGTGCTAAGTCCCCCGTTTTTTTTTTTTTTTTTTTAAAAACAACTCCGTTCCCTCAGGAGCTTTCCGTCGTGCTGGGCGCCGCCATCTTAACCCGCCGCGCGCCCTCAGCCCAACGGCGTCTCCGCGTTCGGCCGACGGGTCCCGGCGAGGGACATTCTTCCTCCGTCCTAATCCTTTTTTTTTTTTTTTTCTTCCCTCCTTTCCCTCTTTCCCCACCCTCCCCACAGGAGCGCACGAGTACGCGCCGCTCCTCCCTTACCCCTCCTCACGTCGATTGGCGGGCGGCCCTGAGAGAGAGAGGGCGGGCCGGCCTGTCCGGCGTTTGATTGGCCCTCTCCTCTGTCCGTCTCTCTCTCTCTCTCTCTCTGTCTCCCCTCCGAGCTAAGGGAGGTATCCAAGCACTGAAGTGAGGAAAGAGAGTAAGGTTGGTTTCAAAAAAAAAAAAAAAAGAGGAGGGCGTGGGCGTGGCCAGGGCGCGCTCGAGCGCGAGGCAGGAGCGCGCAGGCGCGCGCTGAGGCCAGAGCGCCGCTGCCGTCGCCGTCGCCGTCGCCGCCGCCGCCGCCGCTCGCTGCCCGCCATTTTGGATCCGCGGCCGCCCTCAGGAGTGAGGGGCGAAGCGAGCGAAAGGAGCCAGGCCGAGGCCTCCTCCTCACCCCCTTCAGCAGCAGCAAACCGGCCTTGCGAGATGAGGAGGCGGCGGCCTGGCCGCGATACGGTGAGTGGCGGGGCGGCGGTGAGGTGAGGTGAGGCGGCGGGGAGTGAGGAAATTTGGGGGGGGGGGGGGGGGGGAAAGGAGGAGGAGGAGGTTTCCGTGCCATCGCCCTGACAGCTAGGCCGAGGCGGGCGAGAAAAAAGGCTCCCGTGACAAGGCCCGGGAAGGAGAGGAGGGAGGTGGGAAGAGACCCCGCTCGCCTAGGCCGAGGCTTCGGGGTGAGTTGGGGGGGCGCAAAGGGGGCTCCTTTGAGGGGGGCTGTGAGGGAAAAAAAACCCTTTTGGGGGGAGCGGGGTGGGGGGGGGGGGAGGGGGGGGGGGTGTATTAATATGGGGGCGGGGGGGGGGCTGAGGAGGTGCCCGTCCTCTGCCTGTGTGTGTGTGTGTGTGTGTGTACACACACACACTTGTATCTCAGCCTGGGAGGTCTACATGTGCACACGTCCATGGAGGGGGAGGGGGTGCATGGGGTCGCGGGTGTGTGGACCAGGTGAGCGCACCTCCTTTTGTTGGGGTATGTGTATATTATTATATACACATATATTTATCAATATATGTGCATGATTTGTGTCTGTGTGTGTTGAAATTTATCTGAGCGTGCATTGGGGTGCGTGCACTGCACACCTTAGTCTTGAGTTTTATTAGCTCTGTGTGTGTGTGTGTGTGCACGCACACCGTTTATGGGGGAGTGTCCTGAATGTGTGCACACCTTTACCTAAGTGTGTCGCATGTGTGTGTGTGTCTGTGTCTGTGTGTGTCTGTGATGTGTGTGCACACTTGTATCTGAGCCTGTGTGTGCATTGGGAATATGTGTCTCAATATGTGTATTATTTGTGTGTGTGTGTGTTGAAATTTATCTGAGTGTGTATTAAGTGTGTGCGTGCACACCTTAGTTTGAGTCTATCAGCTGTGTGTGTGCGTGTGTACACCGTTTATGGGGGAGTGTCCTGAGGGTGTGCACACCTTTACCTAAGTGTGTTGTGTGTGTGTGTGTCTGTGTGTGTCTGTGATGTGTGTGCACACTTGTATCTGAACCTGTGTGTGCATTGGGAATATGTGTCTCAATATGTGTATTATTTGTGTGTGTGTGTGTTGTGTGTTTATCTGAGTGTGTATTAAGTGTGTGCGTGCACACCTTAGTTTGAGTCTATCAGCTGTGTGTGCGTGTGCACACCGTTTATGGGGGAATGTCCTGAATGTGCACACCTTTACCTAAGTGTGTGTGTGTGTGTTGTGTCTGTGTGTGTCTGTGATGTGTGTGCACACTTGTATCTGAGCCTGTGTGTGCATTGGGAATATGTGTCTCAATATGTGCATTGAGTATTGGTGTGTGTGCGCGCTGAAATTTATCTGAATGTGTATTAAGTGTGTGTGTGCACACCTTAGTTTGAGTCTATTAGCTTTCTGTGTGTGTGCGCGCGCACCGTTTATGGGGGAGTGTCCTGAGGGTGTGCACACCTTTACCTAAGTGTCATGTGTGTATGATGTGTCTGCACACTTGTATCTGAGCCTGTGTGTGCATTGGGTATGTGTGTATCAATATGTGCATTGAGTATTTGTGTGTGTGCTGAAATTTATCTGAGTGTGTATTAGGTGTGCATGCCCAACTTAGTCTGAGTCTATTAGCTTTGTGTGTGCGCACCAAGTGTCGTGTGTGAGTGCATGTTTGTGTGAGTCTGTTAGGGCTGTGCGTGCACCCGTTTGTGGGGGGGTGGGATGCTGTATGGTGTGTGTGTGTATTGTGCGAGCGCATCTATATGTATTACGTTTATCAATATGTCTACTGTATGTGTGGGTGCGCGCGGGCACCTTCCTCTGTTAGGTTTGTGTGTGCACCCATTTACGGTGCGGAGGGTTGTATGGCATGTGTGTCTTGTGTGAGCACACATTTGTATTGTGTGTATGTACACACAATGTACATACACAATGTATATACACACACGAGTGTGTATTAGGTGTGGATGTACACCATTGAGCCTATTAGGTCCGCATGTGCCCCCGTTTATGGGGAAGTGTCATCTGTCCGCACACCTTGAAGTGTCATGTATGTGAGGGCATGTTTGTGTGAGTCTGTTAGGATTGGGTGTGCACCTGTTTACAGGGGGGGTTGTACAGTGTGTGTGTGTGTGTGTGTGTGTATTATGTCAGCACACTTTTACTATGTATTGGATGTCCGAGCATACCTTTATCTGAGTCTATTAAGTCTGTAGGTGCAGCCATTTATGGGGGGAGTATATTATACATATGCACACCTTTATCTGAGTATTATGTGTCTTTTAGGACTGTGTGCAATTATAGGCCATGTATCGTGTGTGTGTGTGTGTGATGTTTGCCTATGCACAAGTTTGGGGGGGTATTACACTTGCACACATAGGTTTATATACATCTGTGTGTATTTCCAATGATATATGAGGGTAGCTCATAAATGCATGGGTGTATAGCTCTGCACCTGTGTGCACAATACATCCCCCAGATACCTAGATATATGAGAGATGATGGCTTAATCTCTAGTTAGGTGTGTGTGTGTGTGAGTCTTGGCAAAGGGTTTTGAGAAGGGGGCACACCAACGAAACGCATGTTGGGGTTTTGGGGAGGCTTCCTTATATTGGAGAATTTGATTGAGTCAGTTGCAGTCTCATAGCTTAATTTTGTAGGTTTCCCTTTTGGGATTTTTGTTCACACTCTTGCACTTGGTGTTTGTTTGTTTGTTTTATAATGTCCAGGGCCAGGTGTGGGATAAATTGCAATAAGGGAATTTACACATGGACTCCTTGTTGAGACTTTGTGTTGTCAGGTTCTTGGGTCCTCACTGTTTACACTGGAATTTGTGGCACAGTTCCAGAATTCCTGACTTGGGTGATGAAGTCTTCCTGTTCTTAATTGCGATGTATTTCTCTATGCTTGTTTGTTTCACTACGTGTCCGTGTGTGTGTAGACTTCTGGTTTTAGATATCTATTTATATAAAGTCTTTTTTTGGTCATCAATATGATGGAAATTCAGAAGGCTGAACCTTGTAAAATGAGTATGAAACTCTTGGCCGCGCATTTCCATAGTTGGAAACTTTTACAGAGGGTTGCTTAAATAAATTTGATTTCCAAGAATTATTGCTGGGTCCTCCCAGCATGAATTGTATGTACAAGCTGAAGATTCATTTCTTGAAATCACCTGAGTATTGCCATATTTTCAACATAAAACATATTTCATTTGTGAGAAGTAGCACAGAGTGTGCGATGTGCACACACTCTCATGCATAAACAAACACGTGTTTTGTTTGATATACAAATGTTGAAAAAACTCTCAGCCAATCGCTGTTTCCCAGCGTGTCCATGCACTATAATAGATCATCACACATGACAGATTACATGTGCTTTGCATGCTAATTTTTTATTTAAATGTAGCCTTTGGCTCCCATATGGCGAAAGAGATTCTTGACAATCAGGTTAACTTGTTTATAGAACTGCCCTGGAGAGCAATTCCTCCGCAGATGCTGTGCAGATAGTTTTATAAAGATCGTTAATAATTTTTTGTTTTCGTATGCCACAATGCGTAAGCTCCCATGGACCATTTGGTGGTCAATTTGGGATATGTAAAAAAGAGAAGAAAAGGAGTGCTATATATAAGATTTAAAATACATCCAATATTACATATCCTACAGCCAGTGGGAAGAACAGGATTGTCATGTCATTATATGATTTGGGAATAAAATATACCTTATCAAGGCTGGGTATCCATATGTGATTTTTTTCCCTCCTCTCATCTCCCTGTTTGTCCCTGAAACAAAATTTTTATAGCTAAGCACTTTTACTTTCGTTATTATCAGATAATAAGGATTCTCCTTGTTTTCCTTGTGTGATAACTTTCATCCCTTCATAACTTGTGTGATAACTTTCATCAACCTTAGCTCTAAATACTTATCACTCACGCTATCCATCACTTCTTGTTGACTTGTTCAGAGTTTGATTGAGGATTTTATTTTGGTATTTTTGTAATCTGTTTTTGAGAGAATAAAAACCATTTTGGCCGGTTCGGGGGGTTATGATTACCTCTCTTTTCCTAGACATCCTATTAGTTGGGAGTTCCTTAAAACATTCTTAAAATTTAATCACCGTTATCTCTTGTTGATAGACAATTAGAAACAGCCTCAATCTTATGGATGGTAACCCTCCTTAAAGCGCGAGATGGGCAGCAAATACATTTGATAAATAGATAAATTAGGGCTGAAATTTCCCAGAATCCCCAGCTAATTCAGCCATTGGGAATGGAGGAGAAACCAGGGAGAGGCTCTCACCACTTTTGAATCCGGTGTGCAGCCCCAAGGCTGTTCACCTGCTGAGAAGCAGGGCTGGATGTAGCAAGATTGATGTTCCCAATGGCCTAATTTATTACAGTTAGAAAAAATAAAAGGTCAGCTAACCTGATTGATATCTGTCTGAATCAAATAGCATATCTGCCTTCATTCGTCAATCAAATAGCCTTTAAGAGAAGCCAATCAGTGTCAATAGTTAGATGTAAAGATGTTTGTTTGTTTGGATTTACGTGCCACCCATCTCGTCCAGAGGCGGCGTGCGCAACAGAAACATTGGTGTGAAATCCATGAAAAACAGATTTGTACAGTACAAATCTTCCCCCTTCTCATAGGATATTATTTCAAGAAATGTTTGGCTTGAAGCATTTTTTTTGTTGTTGTTTCTTTTAAGTGTTTTGTGTTTCTCTTTCAAATGTTTCCTTTTTAATTTCCATAAATGAAAAGCTGATTCAGTTTTGCACAACTGGAGTGGCTCCAATTATTATTATTTTTCTCAGCTCTGCCCTTACATAATTATGAATCTCTGTCCTCGGAAGGGAAATCATTCTCTCCCCTGTCTTTTCTGTTAACAGTGAGAAGATGTTGGCCACCGATGTCCGGGAAGAGCGACCCACGGACCGCCTGCCTGCCATCTTTTAAGAGGAGAAATTTTGCCACGGCACATAACTGGGATGGACCCTCAGCATACTGCTATGTTAGGGTTGGGCTCTGGTTCTGAAGGGTTTGCTGGGAAGAGCCCCTCCGCGGGTGCCACGGGAGCTAGGCGAGAAGCAGAGGTTGATGGTAGCGCAAAGGAGGAAGAGGAGGAGAAGAGGAGGAGCCGGGAGAAGAGTGGCAGCGATGAGGCGGGGAAAGAGGGAAGCCTGTCCGATGCCCAGCACCAGTTTTCTGTGAAGGAGACAAACTTTTCCGAAGGGAATTTAAAACTGAAAATTGGCCTCCAGGCTAAGAGAACTAAGAAACCCCCCAAGAACTTGGAAAACTATGTATGTCGCCCTGCCATAAAAACCACTATTAAGCAGCCCAGGAGGGTGCAGAAAGTTGGAAAGATGGGTGAGGAGAAGAACGAGCCAGGATCTGCGAAGCAGGTGAGTCGCGCTTGGGTTTAAATCCTCATTTTCAGGTTTTGGGTTTTTTGTTTTTTTTTCATTGATACAGGACTAGTTTTTGGGTTTCTCTCTTCCCCTCCTTTTCAGTACAGGTTGTCCTCGACTTAACGACCATAACTGACTAATCCAAACTTTTTGCTGCTTAAGTGAGACAACTTTCTGAAGTGACCTTTGCTCCATTTTACGGCCTTTCTTGCCACAGCTGTTAAGCGAATCGCTGCGGTGGTTAAATTAGGTAACACGGTTGTTAAATGAATCTGACTTCCCCATTGACTTTGCTTGTCAGTAGGTCGCAGCAAAGGGGGATCACGTCTCTCTCACACACACACACAGGGATGCTAACAACAGTCATAAATGCGAGTCAGTTCCCAAGCGTCTGAATTTTGATCGCATCATCACGGGGATACTGAAACAGTCGTAAGTGTGAAAAACGGCCATAAGTCGCTTTTTTCCAGTGCCATTGTAACTTTGAACCGTCACTAAATGAAATGTTCTAAGTCGAGAACGACCTGTCTCCCTCCTCCCTTTGTCTTGAGTGTTTCTCTTTAAAACCCCATTTGAATGTTGGCTGTGATAGTTCCGTGTTCTGATTTAGACTGACTTGCAATCCAGTTTTTCAGTTCCAGGAATAACCCAACAAAGGGGGTTTCTCTGTTTTGTAAAACAGCATTTATCTTGTTGGAGTCCTTATAACCCATGGTATGGTTGGTTGGCATTCTCCCCATATTGCGGGATGCAGTACCAGCACCTAAGAAAAATGCTGATTTTCCTGTAAAGTTCAGGAGAGAGGTGAGATTTAAATTGACAAATTCTTGATTTTAACCCTTACCTTATGTAGCTCCAGATCTGGGCAATTTATCAGGGTTTGCTGATCAGAAAAGTCCCAGTGGCGCTTTTTTTTTTTCTTTTTTCAAAAGGCAACTGGACATCTTTGTTTTTCCTAGAAGACCTTTCGCTTCTCAAAAAAGAAGCTTCTTCAGTTCTTCAGAAGAACTTCAGAAGCTCCTTGGATGAGAAGCGAAAGGAAAAACAAAGATGTCCAGTTGCCTCTTGAAAAAGCACCTTCGAAACCACCTGGATGACTGAGAATCTCCATAGACATTGATCAGAATGGGTTTCCAGTGGCCTCTGAATCGTCCATCCAGGGTGGGGGGACGGACCTCTGCATGCTGTTCAAAACTCCTCAGACAATCTTTATTAAATTTATATTCTGCTTTTCTTGCTTATAAACCCTCTGCGTGCCCTGCTGTCCTCATAATCGTTGACGAGCAACGATGCTTCTCCGGCTGCATGTTGGTTTTCTAAATGCATAAACTGTAGGCCTCGGTGGCAAGGAGGTATGTGGATGTAACCAGAGCAGGTAGGAATTGTAAGAGGAGAAACAAAGTGTAAAGAAGACAGGTGTATCAATTCATTGCGGAGTTGCAAGGAGGGGGGGGGTTGGTAGTTGACTAGCGATACGGATCGTTTCTCAGGAGATTCCCAACGCCCGTATTTCAATAAACATTGTATTTTTGAAGGGCAGTGAGAAAATGTCCTGTAGAGGCTGAGTATGTGCGCCCGCGCGTGGCGATATTTAAAACTCTCATTCTGCCCTTTCTCCCAGGTGACATTGGTTCACCTTCAGAATTTGACCTGCGTTTATTCCGGCCTCACCAAAAATCTTCCGTGTCTTTGTGGGTTTCAGATGCATCCCTAAACAAGTTTCTGATCGGGTAGAATTTCTCTCTCTCCCTGCTTTCAGTACTCATCCTTTTATTCTTGTTAAAGTAATCCCGTCGTGGCGTTTTTCTAATGCCTTCATTCGGGTGCTTAAAATGTTTTTCAAAAGCCCTGCAAAAATGCTTTCGAAATTAATGTTCCCATTGTAAAGATTGAGAACGGAGCTGGAAGAGGACTCGATATCACGCTGTCCTAAATCATAAAGTTCCTGTGAATTTCAGTCCTACAAAATAAAGTTAGGTTCCAAATATAAGGTAGATACAAAACTAGCTGCAGGAGAATGAATAGATAGATAGATAGATAGATAGATAGATGGATGGATGGATGGATGGATGGATGGATGGATGGATGGATGGATGGATGGATGGATGGATGGATGGATATAGATATAGATATAGATATAGATATAGATATAGATATAGATATAGATATAGATATAGATATATTAAAAACTCAACATATTTGTATTCCTTTTCATAGCACGGCTTAATTGTGCAAGCAGTTTTGAACCCATGCAATAGTCGATGCTTTCAAATATAGCCTGGAAGCTTTTGCTAGGATATGAGAGCCTCCTGTGATGATTAGCGTGCATAAAAACATCAGAAAATCCAGGTGTTTTAATTCCAGAACTGAACAATTTGACAAAACGCGCCCACCAGCTTCTTGTGACTCCGATAGTTCCATAACTCATGCCTCTCGCTGATGTTTTGCCATGTAAGCAGGCAGTTTCTAACCTCTGCTGCAGGACGTAACTTTGCTAAAATTAGCAGAATGATTTATGTTCTATACCTGTAACTCCGGGCTATTGTCGGAAGGCAGAAAGTAAAAAAAAAATTAAAAACCTCTGGCTCTTCAGCTGTCACAATTTCAGTATCTTAAGTTCCCCCAACCAAAAAGAACCCAATTCATACCTTGCCCTTTAAGAACAGTGACATTAAAATAGAAATTTTGTAGAGAAAGTCTAAATACCTGCACAGTCTCTCTCTCTCTCTTTTTTTTTTGTCTCCCGTTTCCCCCCCCCCCCCCAGTTCTTTCACTCTCTATAAATATTTATGTTGCTTGTCTGTTGAGAGAGGGGTCCATCTTTCTCCCCATTATTTTGTAGAGAGCTATTGTTCCCCAGATGTTCTTGGATAGCTACCACCTGTTATCCCTGGGTATTGTCTGTATTGAGCTATGGCTGCTGCACTTTTTTTCATTGCCATTTTAGAAGCAGAATTGTGTCTTTCTTTTCCCCCTTTCTTTTCTTTTATTTATTTAGTTTGTCAAGCATCTATGAGAAAACAACTATAAGAATGAACGTAATATATAAGTATAAACAGGTATAAGTATATCCATAAGCAATGAGTACAAATAAATGGGAACGTTGTTCAGAGGGAAGCCTTCTCTAAAATCATGACTGTCAGATCCAAACCTTAACGGTGTGATTTTTGTTGTCGTCATTATTGGTTGGACGTAAATGTGTCTCCCGTATGATGGTTTGGCATGTAAGTTTATTGGAGAGAGAGAGAGGTTTAAGGAATGAAGGGCCTTGTAAGGGAAATTTTTAGGAAAAGCGTGAAGATGGACAGTCTAAATACAAGTGAAGAGACTATTTGAATTGTGGGGTCCTTGGGTCTCTCTGAGCAGGTGTTTTCTTGCAGGTGTTTCATGACCCAACTAGGTAACACCATCAGTGTTAGAAGGTATGGGTTTTGCAGAGGAGGATGAGGGAGGAGGTGACTGTAGTGTCCCTGGTGCTCTCTGAACTTGTAGACATTTCTTTACCCAACTAGGTTATATCATCAGTGCTTGCAGACATTTCTTTACCCAACTAGGTTATACCATCAGTGAGATTTGCTGATGATCATGATGTTACCTGGTTGGATAATGAAACATCTGCAAGAAAGCAACCAAATTCAGACAGCACCAAGGACCCCACCTTAGAAACACAAACAATTATTATAACTAGCAGGCTGAGTTTAAAAAAAAAAAAAAAAAAGCTTACTCAAAAGAGAAACAAGTGGGAACCAAGCAGGCATTTCAGGGAATCTGTTTGCCAAACAGAAATGCTACAGTTGCTAATTCTGTTGTTGTTTCCTATACACAACTTACCATTATTTGTATGTCTCCCTCTGGTGAGCAGATTTCCAGGGATGCTTCCCAGTAAACATTAGATCAAGATGTTTCCTCCTTTATATCACACTTAGCTGAGGCCTGCTACAATCACAGTTGAAATTTAAAGAGAGGGGGAAAGTTAAATATATACATATATATATATTAATTTGCAAAGGATGTTCACAGGTAACATTCTGGTCATCACACCCTTCAGTGCTATTTTCAGGATGTTTTATTTTTTCTGCGGTGAGCCTCCGGGGCAGGGACTTCCCTTTTTCCTCTCCTTGTTATTATTATTTTTTTAGAAGTGTTTTATAAGTGAATAAAAGACATAATAAGGAATGTTAACACTCAAGTTGCAGACATTGGTGTTTTGGAGGCGTTCTTGTTACTAAAAGTGAAATTATCTTTTGAGCCTAACATTCAGAATGCTTTTGACTCTTCGTCTTTCGACATAAGTCATCTTCTCAGAGGTTCTCCAAATACATAGGGGGTTATGGGTCTCAGAATTCCCCACCCACACGATGGAGATCGTAATCCCAGCCCAGCTGCAAGGCTGACCTGTGCAACACGTCGCTGCAAGGTCCATGCATAAATTGCAAAATGCAGCAGCCTGTAGCCTAAATCGCAAAGGGCCGGAAATGCGGCTTTTAAACCTACAGTGCCAAAGGAGAGAGGGAAAATTATTTTTTTAAAAAGACACCCCCGGGGGCCGAGGATTTTGTCTGACATAATAGGGCAGTAAATTGTCCAATAATTTTGTCGGGAATTATTAAATTTATCCCTAGGGCTCCCTTTTGTACCTATTTGGTTTGTTTGTTTTGCCTGAAGTGGAATTTGCTAATGATGAGCAAGCCTGTGATTGAGCTAAAAGCAGACTAGGGAGTGCGTATGATGCAACAAGAGCTTGGTAGATTTGCATAGATCTCTTTCTTTCTCTCTCAGTTTTGAACTGCATGTCTTCCCACCTGGAAGGAAGTCAGAAATCATCAAGGGTGGGCATGGAAGGAGCTGGGGGACCATGCAGAACCAGTCCTTACAGAATAACAGAGTTTGGAAGGGACCTCGGAGGTCCTCTAGTCCTGCTCAAGGAGACCCTACCTACACCATTTCAAACAAGTAGTGGCCAATCTCTTCTTAAAAGCCTCCAGTTGATGGAG